TTAAATTAAAAGAAAAAAATATTTTAAAATATTTAATTATAATGTTTAAATAATTTAAATCGTAAATTGTAAAAAAAATTTCTTGGTAACAATAAGTAAATTTAAATTTGCATGATAATTAAATATAAAAAATTGTTTGCAGTTAACAATTGTTGGCGTCTTTCAAATTAAATAAAAAAAAAAATTAAGAACTTTTTTTTGACATTTTTTTTTGCTCGAAACGAAAACTAAATTATTCTTTTTCTTGAATTTTAAAAATATTTTGACATTTTCTTATAAGAAAAATAAGAAAAAAATAAATTTTATTAAATTTAAAATTTTAAGTTGAAATAAATAAAAATTTTTGTTACTTTTTATACATACTGTTCAATGTTTTGTGCCAACTTTACAATAAATTCTCTTTACTCATAAATTCAAAGAGAAAGAAGTCTCAATTAAAAATGTTTACTGTGTAGTGTAGAGTTTTGTATGGAGAATATTTAAACAAAAATTAATTTTCCGTATTATGAATGTCTACTAGATAAAACTGTGATTATAAATCGTATAAAAACAAAAAAAAAAAAATATTTGAAATTGTTCGAAAATCTTTAATCGTAGTAAGAGTAGACATTTTCGATAATTTTTCGGATAATTTCGGCAATATTCTATTCTATATAATTTTAGTAAACATTTATAATCAAGGGAAAGAGTTTACAGGAAAGAGAGCGTAAAATGAGATTTAAAGATGTAAATTGTTGGTAACACTTTAAACTTTATGAAGTATCGCAATATATTTTGGTAGTCAATAGAAATGGGACGATAAAAATATGCTTGTTGGGAAAATTTAACTTGTCCGGGCGGCAGCGAAACGTATTATTCATTGGGTTGAATTAAACTTTATAAAATATAAATTTTTTTCGACAAATATGATTAAAATTTTTTTTTTAATATAGATTTGTGATTAGTAAAGTTTATGATAAACTCGTAATATTCGAACTAATAAATCTGTTTTCAACGAAAAATTACAAATAAATATCTTAAAAGTTAAAATATTTAAAATAATTAAATAAAATCAAATGATAAACGGTTCTTTTTTTTCAACAACTATTTATAATTTTTTTTTTTTGTAAAGTTAAGTTTTTTTTTTTAATGTTGAAAGTAAAAACGGGGAAAAAATTTAAATTATTAGAAGAAGTCAAAGTTTTTAAGTGTTTAAAAAAATTTTTTTTTTTTCCTGAGTTTGAATACTTGCGTGCTGTTAAACTGGTTCAGTCTATTAAAAATTTGGAATTGAATACAATTATATTTGAATACAAAGTACTTTTATTTTTAATATGTTAATTTATATTCAATGGTTTAATTATATATAACTGTAATATTTTATAATATACGAAATTTTTTTTTAATTTCAAAAAAATATAAAATTTTTTCTACATTAAAAACCATTGTTCGTGGAATATTTTTTGTTAACATATTACAAAAAAAAAGATTTTAAATATTTTCGAATAAATTAGTTATTTTTTTTTTTTTGTTTCATCGAGTGGTTATTTAGAATTATAGAAAAATATTTATTAATTTTGAAATAAACAGAAAAAAAAAATTAAATTTTTTTTTCGAAATTTTTCGGAATTTATTTCCGAAAATTTCTTTACCGTTATTTGTTTTATTTTCGAAATTTTCTTAAAATTATTAAACAGAAAAAAAAATTTTTTTATTTAATTTTAATTAATTAATATTTAATATTAATTAATTTTTATTATAGTTTTTTATTTATTTAGTTTTAAAATTTATTTTGTTTTGTTTTTTAAAATTATTGAAATAGAAGCGTACATACAATTTGTTGGACATACAAATTGTTGGACATGCAAATTGTTGTTTCATTTCAATATTTTGTTTTGCAGTTCCGGTTTTTTTAACATACTATTCCACTTCGAAAATTGTTTAAATTGAATTAATAACTTCAATTATTAAAATATTTTTTTTGAAAATTACCTTTGTAATTTTCTAGTTAATGAAACAACAATAATATTTTCAAAAAAAAACAAAAATTAATTTCAATTTTATAAATTTTAAAATTATTTCTTTGTTTCAAATTTTAATTTCAATTTCATTTGTTTCATATCAATATTGTTTTTATTTAATTTGTTATTTTTCAAATTATTTTTTATTGAATTTTTAAAATTCATTTAACTTTCAATTTTGATTTATTTTAAATTAATTATTTTTTCTATTAATTTCTTTTTTTTCTTATTGTATAAAATTTTATACAATAACATATAAATTAATATTTAAATTTATTACTTGAATTAATAATTAATATAAATATATATATATATATAAATTAATATATTTAATTAATATAAATTAATATACAGTATATATATAATAATATTATATTTTATATACAATCGAATTTAGAAACAAAAAATTTCTAAACAAGAAAAAAAAATTTTATTATTTAATAATGTAAATAAAAATAAAAATGAAAAAAATTACAAGAAAAAAATTTTTTTAATTATATAAATATTAAAAATATATAGTTTATTAACTATTTTAAAGTAAAAATAATATTAAAGAAAAATTAAGAAAAGAATATGATAAAAAACTAACAGAAGAAAAGTAATGAAAAGAATAAAAAATATAAAAGAAGAAGAATATGTTAAATTTTATTTGTATTTACATTGTTTATTGCAACTAAAAAAGATATAACATTTTTTTTTTAAATTTATAAAATAATTATTTTTTAACAAATCAAAAAAAAAAAATGCAATTTTTAGTAATTTATTAAATTTTTTATATTATTTAACTATAAAAATAATAAGGAGAAATATTTGAAGAAAAAAATATTAAATTGTAATTTGTATAAATGTTATATAACAGAAATGAAGCCGAAATATCAAGAAAAAAACAAATGCATAAAGAATATTATTTAAAAGAAAAACGAAAAGAATATGAAAAAAAAATTGTGAAAAAAATACTAAATGGAAATGAAAAAAAAAAAGAAATGGGGTTTTAATAAAAATTTATTTTAATTAAAAATCAAATTGTTTACTGTTTTTATTTAATAAAATATGTATATGGAATGAAATTGAAGAAAACAACAAGACTAAATGAGAGAGTGCAAGAGGAATGAGAAAATCGAAGAAAACGAAACACAATTGTTATATTTTAACAACTAGTTTTTTTCTCTTATATTTTGTTGTCGTTAGAGTATATACCCTTAGTTGTAAGAGGCATTATTTTTTTTTTTGTTTTTTTTTTTTGCATTTCTATATAAATTCGATTTTGGAAAGGAATAGAATAAAAAAAAAATTAGAAAAAAAAATCTTCTCTTGTTGATTTTGATTTTTTTTTTTCCTTCTTATATATACAAACCATAACTAAGTGTAAAAACAGAACCAAAGCGGTGAACGGTAACGGCTGACGATTTTTGTTATTAACTCAAAACAACAGCGAAACGGTAAAATCAACTTTTTAGTTACACACACATATGGACGCAAAAATAATACCTACGAAGGTAAAATAGGATTTAATACAGTCTTAAATTCTATTTTACCGCCGATGGTAAAATCCGCATCGGTAATTTCACTTCATTCTGGTCATATTGGTGTATTCTATATGAATTTTGACATATCGCCGTAAAAAATCGCTCTTGTTCTGTTTTTTTTTTACTTAAATTGGCTCCTTTTTAAATTTTTTAAATACAGCTTTCAAAATATTTTTGAAAATCATAAAACAATATATGATTATATATGCATATATATATATATAGAAATTGATGTATATGTATTTGTTTTATTTTCTTTTTCAACTAGTAATTGTTATACATATATTAATAAATTATTATATTCATAATAAATTTTGTTATACATATTTTATAACATAATAATAATAATTATTAAAATTATAATAATATTAAAAATATTATTATAAATTATACAATATTATTGAAGTGAGCATATTACAAATTTCATTTTTTTCTTTTTTTATACTTTGAAAATTAATTTAATAAAAATTTATTATTTATTATTATTGAAAATATGTACATATATGTATATATTTTTTTTTTCGTGTCCTTAAACATTAATTCATTATTATATAACAAAAAAAAAAATCATCAATCCAATTCAACTATATAGAAAAAATCCAATTAAATCCAATTTAATCAAATCCCAAAATAATATTAACCCAATCCGCTCCAATCAACAATATAAGTTAATCATAAAATATAAATTGAAAATTTATATTTTTTTTTATTTGATTGCTGCTCAATTATTTTCTAAAATAATAATAATAATAATAATTTTTATTTTTCAATTACTTGTATATCCTAAAAACCATAACATTAAAACAAAAAATCAAAAACCATAAATACTGATTTATATTTTTCTTTTTTTTTTTCCTTTTTTGACAGCTTTTATGTATAATAGAATAGAAAAAAATAGGTATATTTTGACATTTACAAAAAAATGTGAATGCTTTATTTATTCTAAAAAAGTGTTATATTTTAAAATTTTTTTAATTATCAATAAAATAGTGGGACTGTATGAAAAGTATTATACAAATTATATTTGTAAAAATTTTCCAAAATATTTATTGATTATATATCACATATTTATAGTTTATTTTATATATGTTATACATGTACAGTATTCGTATAAAAGAAAAATTTACAAAAAAAATTGAATTGTATTTTTTTTTTTAATTTTTGGAAATAATTTGTTCTTAAATTATTTTTTTCTTTTATTAAAAAATTTTATTATGTATTATTATTATAAAATATTTTTCTTCTAAATTTCAGAAAAAAAAGCCTTCTCAACAAAAATGATTACATACTTAACCCTTTTTTTCAAAATAAAATATTTTTTTTTTTTTTATAATATTATTATTAAAAATTATATTTCAGTTTAAAATTTAAATAAAATATTAAAATATTGTAGATAAATTTTGCAATAAAACAAATTTTATTTTGACATTTATTAAAAAAAATAAAATTTTTCTAATTTCTTATAAAATTTCAGTGTCAAATGGGACACCTTATGTGCGCTGCATGCTTTTCTCATTTGCTTGCAGATGGGCGGTAAGTTTGATTTTTTTTTTGTCAATCTTATGTAGACATTAAATTTGATTATATTTCTTTATATAATTATAAATTAAAGAAATATAATCTTTTTTTTTAAAAGAAAAACCAAAAAAAGTAAAGTAAAATTTTATTAATTTTTTTTTTGTTATTTACAAAATTACAAAATCATCGACATCTTTTTTATTTTTTTTCTCATTAATACAATAATAATTCGATATTAATTTTTCTTTTCTTAATTTAATTATAATTTTATAATAATTATTTGTTGAAAATCATTGCGTATTATTTTTAAATTATTCTTTTTATCATATTAAAATTTTCTTATTTGAAAATTTACACTTTTCATATTTGTAAAATAGTTATTGTGAATAGGAATTTTATTTTTAAAAAAAAATTCAAAAAAAACAATTGTGAATTTATAATTTAAAGAATTTAAATTGATTGCTGCATTGTAATGTCATTGTCATTGCAAATATTCTCAATATTTACTTTGAAAATATTTGATATATGACACATTATTAATATGGGAAAATTGAAAATTTATTTTAAATATAAAAATAACTTCTAATAATATAAAGATGAATGCATTTATTGAAATTTAAAATGAAAAGTGTAAATTATTTTTATATAATTTTTCGATTTCCTAAACCTTATCAGTATTTTATATATATATAAAATATGCAATTAAATTGGGAAAGATGTTGTAATATTTTGTAACTTGTACAAATTAAAAATTGTGTTTTAAAAAAAAAATTGGAAGTAAATGAACGAAATTATGTTCAAACTTAATATTGAATTAGTAATTTTAAGATTTCCTCAATGAAAATCTATTTTCTCTGAATTGAAATTTCGATATTTTTAAAATTTGTGAATTTTTATTAAATTCATAAATTAAATAATAATGCTGTTGTTATTTAAAATTCTTTTTTCCAAATTAAAATAAAAATATTTTTAAATTAATATTTTTTTCACTTTTTTGTAAAAAAAATATTAATTTATTATTAAAAATATTATTATTAAAAAGCCATTCTAATTTTTTATAAAACCAATTTTTTAACAAAAACAAAATACTTTAAATAAGAAAATATAAAATGCAAAAAAAAAAAAAAATTAAAAAGAAAAAGATATGCTTTAAATTCGAAAGAAAAAATTTTTGCACAAGTTGTGAACTTTCGAAATCAAAACTGAAACAAAAAGCAAGAAGAAAACTTAAAGGATTACAAACATCCTTGACTAACAACTCAAACTACAACAACAACATCAACAACAATCAAAATCATTATCAAAACAACAACAATAATACAAGTAGTATTTCGAAAATTCATAAACTTAAAAAAACTTTTAATTTCATATCAAAAAGTCTAAGGGATCAAATGGCAACATGTCCAAATTGTCGTATTGAAATATCAAAAAGTACAGCAACAAGAAATTTGGCAGTTGAAAAAGCAGCATCCGAATTACCGAGTGAATGTCAAGTAATTTTTTAATTATTATTTAAGAAAAAAAAAAAAAATTTACAATAAATAAATAAAATATATTTACATTTTTATAATAAAATTTTAATTAATTTTGAAAAAAAAATATTTGATAAATTTATTAATTAATTTTGTTCTTTTTATTTTTTTTTCTTTGTTTTTTTTTTTCCGGTGGACACACAATAATGTCTTTCTTCTTGTTTCTTACTGTTAATCTTCCGTTCGTTCTTGTTTCTATGCACTTTTTTTTTCCGTCAAAAAAAAAAAAAAAATAATTTTTTGTTTTAGTATTGTAATATTGAATATCCGTACAAATCTTTGGAACGTCATGAACAATATGAATGTCAAGAACGTCCAACAAATTGTAAATTCAATAGAATTGGTTGTCCATGGAGAGGTCCAGCTCATGAAAGTAAACATTAATTTTATCTTAAATTAAAATTCTAAGATTTTAATTAAAATATTACTCTTTCTATTTTTTTAGCAACTGAACACGAATCAGTTTGTTCACATCCACATAAATCGGGCTATGAAGTGATGTCAGCATTAGAAGCATATGATGCTAAATTGGAAAAAGATAAAAAAGTGTTCTCAACTCTAATAGATTTATTAAGTTATGAAAAAATCATTTTCAATGGTAAGTTTATTTTTTATTTATCTTTTGTCCTTTATCAAAAATTACAAATCCAATTATAATTTAAATTTTAAAATACAAGTATTTACATAAAATGTAAATTACTACTGTAACAAGTACATACATATAAAATTAAAAGCATATTTTTAGTAAAGATTTTTGAAATCATATAATATGCCTGCTTCTATCCAGTAAATTTCAAGTACATCATATAAGAAACTAATTCTAAAGTTGTAGGCAAATTCAATTTATAGAAATTTTAGGAAAATATTTCAATATTTATTTCAAAATTTAATATTTAATAATTAAATTAATAAATATAAAAAATCTTAGATAGAATCTTGACACATCTAGGAAAAGGGGTGAAAAACTGGGTTGAAAAAAGTTCTAATAGAAAAAAAGAATATTCTGAAAAATCATTTAATTGTTTTTTGAATGGTAATAATGAAAATTATTCATTTTTTTTGAAATACATAATTTTAAAATTTAATTTAAACTATAATATTTAAATATCTTCAATTACAATTAAAATGAATTTTTGAATGTATTATGTAAATTTAATGAAAACTAATTTTTAATTTTTATTTATTTTTTATTTTTAGATCTCCAATTGAAACCATATCGTACAGATGAGTACGTTCATAAATTATATTATGAAACTTCACGTTTTTCAGCATTCAATCAACAATGGGTTGTTAAAGCTAGAATTAATAATAGTCAACGTGATCCACATCAATCAAATGAAAGAACTATAACATACCAAGTATGCACCACAACATATTAATTGAATGGATTATTTTGAAAGTGATTTCATAAGACTATTTGCAAGTTCAGAAACTGTTTTACTTCTAAATTGTTTCAATAGTTAGAATTGAAACTTATGTTTTCGAAGAAAAAAGCAGTCAATATAGTTAATCAGATAACCAATTATCCGAATTTTTAGTTATTTTAAATCCAAACGAAGGAATGTTTTGTTTTTAATTGAAATAGACTTTGGTCCAGTTTTAAAATAAACCATTCAGTTATACGCATACGCATTTTTGCTTTTTTAATTTATAATTTAAAAAAAATTAAATTAAATTTTTAATTAAAATTAAATTAAATTAAAACAATGTACAAAATTAATTAATTAATTTTCATATTTTATTTTTTTTTTTTTAAATTTAAGCTTATATTGAAAACAAAAACCAGTACTCCAATGAGTATTCACTTTTTTGCGTTAAAAGGACCATTTTCAGATATGAAAGTTGGTACACAAATTTATAAACATGATTTTACAGACCAAGTAAGACCAATCATTACATACATATATAATTGATTTAAAAAAAATTTTTATTATTATTATATTTTTTTAGAGCGCAGAAAGTGATTATTATCATTTACCTTTACCAGACAGTTCTGAATGTAATCGATTACTTTCGAATAAGGCTATTAATTTAAGGTATATTTTAATTGCCTAAACTAATTTTGAAGATTTTAAGTGGTTTTTTACATTTATTTTATTATTATATTAAAAATAAAATACAAAACTGCTATCACTAGTGTCTGTTTTTGGAAAACATAATTCTCGCAAAACATAAAATATGTAAGCCAAACATAAAATGTTTTATATTTTTGAAATTATTGGAAGAATAGTATCGTATAGCTAAAATTTTTCCAATTGCAATTTCAAAAATATTTCAGAAATTTTATTTTCTTTTATTTGTTTTATATGCAGAATATATCAAATAGAGCTGATGTTTTCAAAATTGGGCACTTATATCATTTATACGAGGATTATCGAAAATTGAGTTCTACCTTAAACAAATAATATAATATGTTTGAGATAAATAAAAACTACAGAATTTTCAAATGTAGTAGTATCCTTAATGCATCCTTAATGTAATAGCATCCTTCATGTTAGTATCATCCTTAAAAAAATATTAACACCCTTATTATGAATCTTACTCGTAGAATTCTACGAATTTCGAATTAATTTACGCACGTAGAATTGTTAATAATTATATATCTCACTCGTACAGATTATGAATAGGCAATGGCAACATTATTTTTCGGAAATCGTTATTTTATTACAGCTGTCAAGTGACAAAATCTAAAATTTTCAAAATTCATAGTAAATATTTAAAAAAATAATTCACATTTCAATAATAAACATTTCAAAAAACAATAGAAAATCAAAAAAAAAAAGTTTAGTTAAAATGAACTCGTTTTTTTTTAAGAAAATCTTCAAGAAAATTTTAATATGTATAATATAAATAAAATAAATTCATAATTACATAAAAAAAAAATTTAACAAATAAATAAATAAATAAACTTAAAAAAAATTAACCGACCACTCTTAAATACTGGCTTTCTATGTTCGAAAATTTCATTAGTAGAATTTTGACATTTATTTTCATTACGAGTGTAATTCATAATTACTCTATTACGAATTTCGTAATAAATTTCTACTATTTCGGAATTTACAACATGAAATTCGTAATTTCTCCGAATTTCAGTGTTACGATTAAGATTTACAATGATGTTAATCTAGAAATTTAAGTGTATATCTCAATTATCGAAAATCCCCAACTACATTCAAAAATAAAAATAATTTAATTAAATAATTTTAAATATTTATTTTCTTTTTCTTTTATTTTTAGACTTTTAATGTTTTTGCTTAGTAAATAAGGAGTTTTCATCTTTAAAATTTAATTTTTTTTTTGTCGATTAAAATAATATTAAAAAAAAAAAAACAAAATTATTATTGAAATTTTTATGTATTCTAAATTAAAAATGAGAGAAAAAAAAAAACAAAAAATTCAAATAATTTTTAAAAATTATATTTAAAATAATTGACATTTTATTAAATTCATATTTTTTTTTATTTTTTTTTTTTCGTTGTTTTGAGCGTTATACAATTAATATACACACTTTTTATCTATATATAATTACAAAAAATTTAATTAGGTATTATTAAAAAAATAAAATAAAATAAAAATTCTAGTTTTTTTCTCTATATTCAACAAATAATGTGTATTTTTTACATAACGATATTAATTAATTTGTTTGTTTGTTTTCTTTTATTTTATTTCATTAAATATATTGAAATTTTGAAAAATTTTTATTTTTATCAAAAAAATATTCTAATGTAAAATTTATTATTTTCAAAATTAAATTCTCAATTATTTTTTTTTTTAAGTGATGATGTTATATTTCAAGTGCAAGAAATATTATTAAAAAAATTTAAAAAAGAAAAAAAAATTAAAAATTATTATATTTTAAAATTTAATTAAAAATATTAAATTAAGATTTATTTATATGAAAATTTTAGATTTATTTTCATTATTTACAAATATATATATATATATATAAAAAAAAACAGAATAAAAAAAAAAGAAATTTTGAAAAATATATTATTATTTAAATAATAATTACAAAAACAAAAGTTAAAATAGTGTTTTACTTTGTAAATTTCTGTTCATCTCCAAAATTACAAAATAATCAAAAGTTTTTGTATTTTTAAGAATTAGGGCCTGATCTTTTTTTTTCCTATTTTACTCGGAAAGTGATAAGAAAGTGAGTAACTATCAAATAATCGTATAAATAATGTAATTTTTAAGTGAGAAGAATTATTTGGTATTGCGTGTCTCGTTTTTTTCCCCCCAAAATGTATATAACATTTATTCACATTGTTTTTGAAAGTTCAAAAACGTTCAATCGATAGTTTGAGAAAAAATGCAAAAATCCAATTTGAAATAAATGAGTAATCTTATTGGAAAAGTGAAAGATCCATTAGAAAATACTAAGAATTCTGATTTGAAAGTGAATAAAAAAGTGAGTAAAAAAGCGAGATACACAATCAGACAGTTAATATTTTGTTTGTACACTCTTTGAAGGATTGAACGAATATTATTGTTTAAAAGTAAGGAAACTTTCGAAAATTTAGTTCTAATTAAAATCTTGTAATTTATAGATTTTAAGGGAACCGAGATTTTAAGGCGGAAGGATCCCCCCCAAGGCCACAGCAGCCATTCGCCACTTATTGTTTAAATCTTATTATATATTTATTACTACAATTTAGATTTTACTTATAAAGCGTGTTCGATAAATCTTTTGTATAAGAGAAGCATCGTAGCAAAAATAGAGGGTTTTCGTTTATGCACTGAAAGTTTTATGTTAGAACTGGAATTTCTAAACCGCAGCTTCTGTGGAAGGACAAAATAGCTTAAAGAGGTGTAACCCTTATAAATTGGTTATTTAACTACTTGCAAAAATTTTCTTTAACTAAAAAAAAACTAGAAACTGTTTTTCCAATTATCAATTATATCATTATATTTAAATATATTTATTAATTAAGAATTCTCTAAAAATAAAATTTATGTAAGCAAATGAAAAATAAAAAAAATCATTTTTCTTGATTACTAACAATAAATTTTATATGTTCTGCAATAGTTGCACGAGGATTTTCTCTAAATTTTTTATCTTTTAATATTGAATTCAAGCATTTGTATCTGTCCAGAAATTCTTTTTTCCTTTCTTTTGATCTTTCTATTTTATTCTTTGGTTTTTTATTTTTCCGCTTATCCTTATTGTCAAATTCTTTTATTCCAGTTTTAATTTCATCTGGTTTTAATTTACGTAATTCATCTAATGATGGTAAAGCATCTTTTAATGGATTTAAATCTCCAATTATTTTCCTTTTCTCCCTTTTCTTTTTCTTTGCATTTTCTAATTCTTGTTCCTTAATCCAATCTATTTTTTCCATTAAAGCTTTCTTCTTTATTTTCATTTTTTCTTTTTTAGTTTTTGATTTTTGTAGTGTAATTGTTTTTTGAAAAAGTATTTTTGATTTTTCTTTAGGTTTTACTAAATCTTTTTTATTAGTATCAAGATTTTTTGTGATAATGGTCGAAGGTTTGCTTCCTGTATCATTTCCAATACCTGCAGCTGAATCTTTAGCATTATTAGTTTCTTTAATTGATTTTGTAAATTTGTTTTTGTTTGTGAGCGTTTTAATGGGTAGTTTTTTATTTATTTTACCCATGTTAAAAGGTTTATTTTTATTATGATTTTTATACTTTTAATATTTAATAATAAACTGGCACCAAACTCTAAGCAAGCACCACATGGGAAATATTTTGTAAACATTAAAATTTTTGACAACCTATTATAGAATGTCAATTTATTAAAATTTCTATGTTTTTTGGGAGACCAGATATAGTGTAGATTTAAAATAAAAAAAAACTATTCAAAGCAAATTTCAATGAGGGTAACTTGCGTTATATTAACCGGCGAGAATTGAAAACAAATAAAATTATGAAATGACAAGTTAATATCTGCCAATATTTGTAGCTTGAAGTCAACAGATAATTTTTATACTACACACACAATACGTAATGAAGGTGTCAATAATTCTAGTTCGAATAAAACGTATCATGTCTAATATCTCACTAAAAGTATTTAAATTTTAATATTAACCTTTGAAATGTGCTTAAAATAATAAAATTATATATATGTATGCATATAGTTTAAAAAAAAAAAATTATTATTATTAGTTTTGTAATATGAACCGTATATTTCTATGTAATGCTTCCGAAAATCGTAAGATGTCACTGTTATATTAATTAACATATTTTCTTATCGTTAAATGTGTTATCTAAAATAAATGTTAGGTGGCGCTTTAGTAGTTAAACTGATTTTATAATTGTCAAATTCACATGAAAATTGAATTTTACTAATGACATTTGTTATTTTGTATTTTTAAAGGTTCCGAATTGGATTTGTAAGTTGCATAACTAAGAAAAGTAATTAAAATTATCTATAATAAATAGCAGTGCTCTAAAAATTGTATTATAATTTCATTTTGTAGCTTCATTTTCGGTGTTTAATTGAAAAAATAAAATCAAGATGCCCACTGTTGCCGATGTCAAGACCGTACCATTTGATCCAAGATTCCCAAATCAAAATCAAACAAGACATTGCTACCAAAGTTATGTAGATTTTCACAGATGCCAAAAAATTCGTGGTGAGAAATATGAACCATGCCAATATTTCAAAAAAGCATTTCAAGCTTTGTGTCCAAATGCTTGGGTTGAAAGATGGGATGGTCAAATTTCAGAAGGAACTTTCGCTGGAAGAATCTAAGTAAATCTTTATTAATATTATTACTGTTATTAGTAATTTGATGCAGAGGCGAAATGTAGTTATACAATTAAATGTAATTCAAAACCAAAAATAAACTCTCGAAAATTTAATTTATTGAAATCAAAAAAGTGTTTTTTAATTTAATTGAATGAGCTACCTATTTAGGAGTCCAGAACGTGTTACTTTGTGACATAACCAGACACTGATATAAAAGTTGTAGAACTATATATACATATATAGTTGGAAAAGTATATTTAAAAATTATATGTCGAATTGCTGTAACATATACTAAAAGTGAGAAAATTTTTTATAAAAAATATTTTTATTGAAAGGTATGTACCTAATAATAATAAACTAAGTAAAAAGTGCATTTATTTTTAACATTGTTAATCTACTTAATATATCAATCTCTCTTCAATAAAGCTTCTTTGATTTTGTACTTTTGTATCATTTCATCTACAATGTTTAAATTCAGTGTACATATAGCTTGTATTGTATCATTTGAAGCACTGGATTTTTCTGCTTTGTTTAAAGGTTGTAAATATGGGAATCCATCATCTTCTTTCCATATCTTAACAGATTTATCTCTAGCTAAAAATGCTACCCGAAATGCATTATGTACTGTATTCATAAAATTATGTGGATCAATCACTAATTTATAATAAGGAATTGGTTGGCTTTTATTATTTGAATATATTTCTAAAATTCTTCTATATATCACATTCATATTTTCCAAATTTCCATCTCGTTTTTCAATTTGACTAAGATTTTCTGGTCTCATTTCTTCGCCTCTATTCGATTTTGTTTTTCTTTGCCTTTCTTTAACAACTTTTTCTTCCGAATCAGCTTTAAAATCGTAATCACTTAAAAAACTCGGTGAGAACTTTACCATTTTACATACACTTCCAGCAATTTCCGTAATTTTATCCCAGTTTTCGTTATCGTTTTTATAGACAATAGCCATGATTGCATTTATCCACTCTTCATCTGCAAACTCACTTGCACCAATTTTTTGCATTACTTCACCAATTAACTCATGGCTCATTTGTACGATTTGGGCATCCATAATAACTTCAGTTGTATCATGATTTTGCTTCTGTAAATCAACAGATCGATTAATAGTATCCGTTTCTTGAATAATTTCAGAAATTTTATCAATCATTTCATAGTCTTCTCTATCATTGTGTTTTTTTAGGTCCGTTCCCATATCAAGAAGTTGTTTTAATCGAGATTTTCTACGATTACTATCCGTTTCTCCTGACATTTTACTTTGTTTGTATTTCTACTTTAAATTTATTTTCAATTAATATATTCTTATCTTAAATAATGTAAAAAATTTAAATTTCAAGCTGAATAAAATAAGTTAAAAATTAAAATATAATGCACCGCCTTTTAATGTTTCACAATATTATTATCAGTTACCAACATAACAACATTAAAAACTTCAGCTATTGTGCCACTCGTAAAATTGAGTCAAACTTTTAAAATGCAAATTTCAGTAGCACTAATAATGTGAAGTATAATTTTAATTAATTTGAAATGTCTGCAAACAATTTCTATGTGAGTATGTACATTTTTTTTTATCATAAAATAGTGCTTGAAATTAAAATTTATTACTGTATCAATAATACTGAAAGTAAATCTAGATGTATATCCAGATCAAGTTTGCGGTTGATATCGTAACAAAATGTATGATAAATATCGTCAAAAAAGTGGAGGGCTATGAAAAATTGGTAAAACTTTTAAGATATAGGGTTAAACAAGGTTTTCAAAATTATAAAAATGTAAAATAAATGTAAAGCTGTCAAGATTACTGCAAAATCTTGAATAACGTTCAAAGATTTTCAAAATCCTTATTTGAAAAAATACATATATGAAAAATACATTCATGTTTGACAATTATTGGGTCGTAATTATTAAAATAAAATAACTAACTTTGACAGTTTAATAGAAAAAAACAAAAAAAAATAAGTTTTATATGAAAAATATTTAATAATATTCATAAAAATTTATAAATCAATTGGATTACATTGAAAACAGAACAAGCGCGATTTTCGATGGCAAAACGTCAAAGTTCATGTAAAATACATAAATAACACATCACTTTTGGTGCTCTTCGCTTTAGTTTCGTTTTTACGCTTAAGCTTTTAAATTATTTATTTATTGTAATTTGTCATTATTTTCAGCTTAGTTAATATAAGTTTTGACATTTATTTTAAATCGTATATGACAACACTGTCAACTATTTAATTTCTTAATTTTGACACTTGCAAACAATTTACAAATTTTCAACTATTTTTTGACAGTTCATAAAGTTCTACGGTTTGTATCAGTTCGTATTTCGGTAATAGTGTTAAATCATTATTGAGTGTTTTTTTTTTATTGCAAAAAAAAAAAGAAAGTGTAAATTAAAAAAAAAAAACAAAACGTTAAATATAAATAAAAGGAAAAAAATCAAACTATTTCCACATTTATTTTAAATATTATTTATTTTAATTAATAATTCAATTTTAAATAAATTAATTAAAAATAATTGTATACTACTGCGTTGGAAGAAAAACGCCATTACAAATTTTGACGGTAAGTAATTTGTTGGCACTTTAAGAGTTGATAGAAAATAATATGTACATAAAATTATTACGTGTTCAAAAAAATTAATAATATAAAATTTATTTTAGAAATATTTGAGAGAAAAAAATTTAAATTAAATAAATAACTTTAAATTTTGGTAAGAAAATAAAATATGGAATAAAATATGAAATTTACTTTTATCGATTTATCATTATGTTCGTTTCATAGTCATAAGTAAATGCATATGATTGTATGTATACACTTATGTACATTAGCAGATATCTATGCATCATAGGAAATTTTGTGTTAAAGTTAAATTTAAATAATATCTATGTATGTAGGTATATAAGGTTGTATAAAAATAAAATAATAAATTTTTATATGTAAATTTATATAGAAGGAAAAGTTATAGTCCTTTGGGTAATATTAAAAAAATAATGAGTGTAAGAAATAAGACCTATGTAAAAAGTATGTAGGACCAAAGAAAATTTTTTGTTTTTGCATCTTTTGTTGATTCGGTTGTACCCACTTACTTAACTAATTTATATTATTAAAATTAATAAATATAATCGATATAACAAAATTATTAGTATATTTTTTTGATAAAAATTGAAAATATGAAAATTGGAATGCATTATTTATTTTATTTTTCGTTCATAAAACAAAACAAAAAAAAAATATTTATGTAAACATTGACAAGCAAGGACATTTTAAGGATATTATTCCGGTGTCAATAATTTTGTTTTTATTCTTACAATATGTATGTATGTATGTAATAATGCTCTTAATATGTAAATATCCATCTACCCTACCCACATAATTGCTTGTATATAGAAAAATTGCGTCATATTTTTCGATATACTCGTATTTTTATGCGTTTACATTTCTAAATTGTTTTTTTTTTTTGAAATAAGAGTTTACCAGATTATTTTTCCAATTAAATTTCATTTGTTTCTAAATTTTCAGTGAGAATAATGTGAAGAAACTGTTTGTTAAAATAATCTTGTTTCATGAAATTGCTTGTTTTCTGCTACAACACAGACATAACTCAAAATTTGCCCGTTTCAGAAAAACAATTAACCTTTTCAAATAATATTTTTATAAATAAATTATTTTAATTATTTCATTATATTTGTAGGTTTTAATATAAAATTTTTGGAATTCTTGATTAGTTAAACCTGTCAACTTAACAAAAATATCATTTAACAAAATTCCTAATTATTATTCAACAAATTTAAAAAAAATAATACAGAATAATAAGAGAAATAAAAGTTAGGACCTACCCACTAGAACAATTAAAAAATTATTGCACAATAAGTAGAAACTAGTATAATTACTTTTACTAATTATGAAATTCATCTTATTACAAAAGTTCAATAGTGACTAAGTTATTATTTTAAGTCTACTCGTATTATTCTGTTTATTATTTAAGTCTATTAATCTACTTATTTTGTGTAACTTGATAATAATTTACTGATAATGCAAATTATAAAAATTTTCAGTGAAATTATTAGATTGAATTAGTTTTGCATAATTTACAAAAATAATAAGGTACTTATTAATTAAGAAATATTAGTTAATGAATCTTTCTGTTTATAAACTGATTTCAAAATAAATTTTCGAGACCATTAAAATGTTCCATTCTCTAAGACTGTTAGCTTATTTCAAATTCATTTGTATATTGAAATTAAAATATCAAAATGTTCTCAAATTATTTTATTCAAAATTTAATTGAAATTTTAACCATTCTTTGATATGTATCTAGCTGTGAAAATATTGTATTTGAATTTACTAGTTTATAAGTCAGATTTTTTTCGCTGCAAAATTTTTGCATTCAGACACCCGCACACGAGTACATCAAATATTTATTAAATCTTTTTAATTCCTCTTCATTTTGCAGTATTGTGCTTTGCCTCAATTTTGGAGTAACAGGCTAAAAGTGGGATTGTTAAAAAAGCATAAGCTATATATGTATATTTCTTAGGTTCTTAAAGTAATAGGGTTCTTTCATGTACATACTCGTTTCCAATGGTGTAATAAGTAAATTTAGTTGTTTGATTTCTTTCGCCCTTTTATCACAATCAATTCACAGAATGTGAAAATATTTAGAAAAAAAAAGTAAAAGTATAACTATTTAAGACCTAAGATTACTATTTTCAGTACCTACTTTAATTTCAAAATTTTAATGTTAACCAACTATAAGTACAACAAAATCTGTAATTAGATTATTTCTAAATGTTTGAAATAAAAGTTCATGGTTCATTTTAGAAAAAAACCAAAACAATCATGTTAGTTAACGTGATATTAGCCCAACATAATGTAACTAAAATGAATTTAAATAAAAATGTAGAAGAAAAAAAAAGAAACAAGCATGTCGAAACAATTTTGATTTCAAAACTTTTAATCTTTGTACTTAAATTGTCTGACCTTCTTAATTTTTACTGGGTACATTTTTTTTTTTCTCGCATGAATAAAATTCCAACTGCTCTGCCAAAAAAAAATAAAAAACAATAACTAATTTAATAATTATGAAACTTGCTATTACAAAGTCCAATATTAATTAAGTTATTATTGTTTTTTTTTTTTTTTTGAAGTTCACTCGTGACTTATTTTGAATAAGTATGCAAAATTAAGTAAATGAAAAAATTAATAAAAATAACTGCGGTGTATAAAATAATAAAGTAGGTACAATGACCGTAAATTATTTTTACTAAAAAATTAATAAATTTTAAAATTTTTATTTCATTTTAGATTTTAAAAAAGAAATATCGTAATAAGTACTGAAGAAGATGAAATAATTTCACTTTTTAATTGCCTACCTTAAAAAAAAATTAAGAAATTAGGGAAGAGGAAAATGAAATAGTCAAGTGGCATTCCAAAATCCGAATTCAAGCAAAATTGAAAATTCGATGAATCAATCAGTGTCTTGTTTTGTAATCAAATTCTGTATTTAAAATTCATTCTTACTGAAAACTAAGTAGGTGAAATAGTATTGAACCCTCTTTTTTTTTTTTTATAAAGAACCTATTTAAATAAGTGATTACGCTTTCAATTTCAATTTCATTAATTAATTTTAAACTCAATTTTCACGAATTAGTAAATAGTTTCATTTTTTTGAAACAAAAAGTGTTATCGTAATATTTGATCGCTGTTTTGTGTTTTCACTAATTTTTTCCATTAATTCAATTTGACATGCTTAAAATTAAAGTTTGTTTTTTTTTCACGTTTTTAATGCTTTTCTTCATAAATTTGAATAATTAAAAAATTTTTTAATACTTTTATTAATTAATAGTGTTATTGTTATACTCAAATAATTTTGATGGAGTTCAGGTTTTATTTTACAACTATAATAAAAATTTAATTCAGAATTTTGCAAACTTGATGTCAAAAATCTTACAATTTGGTAGACGCTCTTTAGATTTTAATCAGAGTATTTCTTATATACATATATTCCAATTAAAGATTAAATGTTAAGTGTACATTAAATGGTATGGATTCCAATCCAATGTAAATTAATTTTATAGAATCACATTTTAATGAGTTAAAATTCTGTTAATTTATTTTATAATTTAAATTCATTATAATGTAAAATAAATTTATTCATAAAAATTTTATTAATAAAACTAAATCTTTTATAATTTTCATTTTATTATGAAAATTTCCCGTGTAAGTACTTAAGTACTTATTTTCATGTGCATTATATACACATGTGCAATTAAATTTTGAATAAAGTGTTGTTAGTAATTCAATTGCGCGGTTATGAATATAATTTACATTTTTTATAATATTTTGGAATTTTTATATTCATATTTATATTTATATACATAATATGTATATTAAAGCTCTACTAAATAATAAATTTATAAATAAATATGTACAATTATAAATTTTACATTAAAATTTTTTAAAGTTTCACCAATCAAAAGTTTTCATGATTTTGACGTACTATATTTACTTATTTTCGATAATGCTTAATGAGTGCATGTCTAGAATATTTAATTAAAAATTTTTGTACTTATTTTTATCGCGAATTCTTGTTATTATTTTATTTTAATTATTTATAATTCATTTATGTTTTATTAATTAAAAATTTGTACTTAGATATTTTATTTTCTTATTTTATAAGTAGCATATTAGCTTAAGTAAAATGAAAATAAAAATTAATAGTTCATCAAATGAGTTAATAAATTGTAAATCGGTTGTGTGTAATGAAAGTAGTTGAATGTATCGAAAATGTTATAATACAAAAATTAATATTATTAAGATGAATGCTGTTCAATAAAACATACTTAGGATTATTTACATAAAACAATTTCAAGTACAATGCTTCAAGAAACAAGATTATTCTTATCATATAATAAAATCCTATCATGAAATATAAAACTCAAATGTACAAAAGTAATAAGAAATATTATAAGTATTTGTACTGGAACTCTAAATTTTTTCGAAGAAACTTAGTAATGTTATTAACAAAATTTATTAATTCATTCATTGAATTGTAATCATCATTTCTAAGAGTATAAATACAATTTATTTTGCATTGTATTCTTTCATTTGCATCATAGGGCTAAATTTTTGTTCATTCAACCAGTTATCCATGAGCCCTATAATTATTTGTAATTTATAAAATCAGAAATTCGTAATATGTGTATTTCGTAGATTTAAAAAAAAATGAGGATCAATTATTAATGACACTCATTTACAAATGACAACTATAATAATTCAGTGTCGAATATAATATTGAGCTATTTAATCGTTTTTAAAACGGCATTTTAGACATTTCGGTGTTTCGATATTTGACACATATTTTGCTTTATTTAATTTGCAATTAATATTTTGTTTTATTTTTTTTTTTCATGATATAAGGTTTTTGATAATAATTTTACATACTTAATTAAATAAATTTTTTTCTTTTTTTATAAATTGCATAAAATATTTGCTTGTAGTATTAATTTATAAATACTTTTATTTGCCCACAATAAAAAAAAAAATACTAATTTTAAAAATAT